ACATAGAATATCCTTAACAAACTTATATGCTTAACATATTTATATTATATGCTTAACAAACATAGGAAATATCAGATACTAACACAGAAAAGAATATCCTTAACAAACTTATATGCTTAACATATTTATATTATATGCTTAACATATTTATATTATATGCTTAACAAACATAGGAAATATCAGATACTAACACAGAAAAGAATAACATAGAAGAACAAAGAAAAAGAACACAGAAAAGAATAACATAGAAGAACGAAGCAAAGAAAAAAAAAGAACACAGAAAAGAATAAATAAAGAAATTAGTTATTTATTTAGAAATGATGAAGTATTGAAGTTTATATCATTAATTATTTTCAAATTAACAAGAAGAAGATGTTTCTTTTGTTCTTTAGATCAGAAGAATTGATTTTAATATAATCAATAACATTAACATAGAAGATATAATAAATAACATAGAAAATATAATCAATAACATTAACATAGAAGATATAATAAATAACATAGAAAATATAATCAATAACATTAACATAGAAGATATAATAAATAACATAGAAAATATAATCAATAACATTAACATAGAAGATATAATAAATAACATAGAAAATATAATCAATAACATTAACATAGAAGATATAATAAATAACATAGAAAAACAAAACAAAGTATATCAAAGAAAAACAAATCGAACACTCATAGAGGTATTATGATTTATAGCTTAGTTTGGGGAAATTATCTCGTTGGTTTCTGCGTTAAAATACTGAATTCAGCCGTTGTGATCGGATTCTATTATGGATTTCTGACTACATTCTCCATAGGACCGTCTTATCTCTTCCTTCTTCGAGGGCAAATCTTAGGAAAGGGATCTGAAACGAAAATATCAGCAACAACCGGGTTTATTACGGGACAGCTCATGATGTTTATATCGATCTATTATGCGCCTTTGCATTTGGCATTGAGTAGACCTCATACAATAACAGTCTTAACTCTACCGTATCTTTTCTTTAATTTTGTCCACAAAAATGACAAACACTACTATTTGGGTTCGGGATCCAAACTGGATTCTGAATACAAGAATCCAAATTCAATACGTCATTTTAGGATTGTTAAAGTATTCTTTAACAATCTTTTTTTTCAGTTATTAAACCCCTTTCTTTTGCCAAGTTCAATCTTAATAAGATTAATGAACATTTATCTGTTTCGATCCAACAATAAATTGTTATTCTTAACAAGTAGTTTTGTTGGGTGGTTAATAGGTCACATCTTTTTAATGAAATGTATTGGATTGGTATTAGTCTGGTTACAGCACAAAAAGTCGATCAAATATAAGATAACTATGAAATTTGATAAATACATTCTCCTACAATTGCGAAATTATGTGGGGCAAATATTTGTTGTTTTTTCATTTGTTAGCTTTGCACACTATTTAGGCAGAACACCGCTCCCATATTATTATATTGAGGAAATGATGCGATACGATGACAGGGACCTGGAGGAAGTCAAAGCTGCAATAGATTGGGAAAAGGAAGAAACTAACGAAGAAGAAGAAGATATTACTGTTTATCTTTCTGATAAAAAAGAGAATACTTTCAACAAAAAACTCGCCCCGTTGGAAAAATCTCTTGTAACTACTCTTTTCGATTATCGAAAATGGAATAGGCCTTTGCGATATATAAAAAATGATCACTTTGAAAGGGTTGTAAGAGATGAAAATTCACAATTTTTTTTTCAGGTATGTCAAAGTGATGGAAAAAAACGAATATCTTTCACGTATCCACCTCATTTATCTACTTTTCTGAAAATCATGGAAAAAAAAATGGATCTCTTCAGAAGAGATAAAACCTCCTATAATGATAATGAATTGTCTAATTATTGGAGCTCTGTTAATAAAGAAAAAGGAAATAAACTAATCAATGAATTTTTTCAAAGGGCAAAAATGATAGATAATAAATCTATTAAATTTAGTCCTGTGGATGTATTTGAAAATCGAATTAGATTGTCTGATGATAATAGGAAAACAAAATACTTAACTAAAATATATGATCCTTTCTTGAATGGACGCGTTCGTGGAGAAATCCAAAAAGGCTTTTCACCCTTCATTCCAAATGAAACTGACACAACAAACTACATTTTGATAAATAAGATTCATGGTCTCCTTCTTTCTATTAATAGTAATGATCCAGAATTTGAACAGAAAATAGATCAATTTGATAGAAAATTATTATTAAATGAAATTGGTTTTTTTTTTAACTTAATCAGTAAATTTTCGGAAAAATCAGTATCAAGTTTGAATTTTGACGGACTTTATTTATTTCCAGAACATGAACAAGTAAAAATATATTCCGAAGAAAAAAAAACAAAAAGAAAATTATTATTGGACGCAATTCGAACTGATCCTACTAATAATACAATTTTTAATAGAAAACTATGTAGTGAAATAAACGAAATAAGTAAAGAAGTTCCTCGATGGTCATACGACTTAGTCGACGAATTGGCGGTATTGATGGACGCGAGTCCAAAGGAGTCTCAGATTCGTTCCCCAAAAGCTGACCGTATAGTTCTTTTTAATAGTAAAACAGATTCTAATGACAATCAGAATAGTGCTGAACCGGACAGAAATACTGAATTTGCTGTAGTTCATTATTCACGCGAACCAGATTATTGCCGAGACCTAATCAGAGGATCTATGCGCCCTCAAAGGCGTAAAACAGTAACTTATAAACTCTTTCAAGGAACTGCACACTCCCCTCTTTTTTTGGAGATAATGGGCGACTACGCGTTCTTGTTTGGTGATCTTGTCTATGATATCTCCCAATATTTGAAAGAATATTTCAGGAAACCGGGTACTGATAATTCGGAATTTTTGGCGTTTGAGAAAACGATAGAACAGAAAGAGATAGAGGAAAACAAAGACGAGTCTGAAATAAGACTTAGACAAATCGAAGAAGCCTGGGAGAGCATTCTCTATGGTCTAATAATCAGAAGTTTTGTATTACTATTCCAATCAATATTTAGAAAATATATTCTATTACCTTCATTGATAATCACAAAAAATATCATTCGTATACTATTATTTCAAAATCCTGAATGGTCAGAAGATTTGAGGGATTGGAGAAAAGAAGTCCATATTTACTGCACCTATCAGGGCGTTCCAGTATCTCACACCGCGTTGCCAACAAACTGGTTCTGGGAGGGTATTCAGATAAGGATCTTATTCCCTTTTGTTCTGAAACCGTGGCACAATAAGGTACGATCTACTGAAAAAAAAAAAAAATCTACTGAAAAAAAAAAAGATCCACTGAAAGAAAAAAACTTATGGTTTTTAACAGGTTATGGAACACAAGTCGAATCGTACCTTGATGATCATGTCCCAAACCCTTTTTTATTTTTGGGTCCCATTTTAAAAAAAATAAAAAAACAATTGAAAAAAGATTTGAAAAATCGTTTTTTTCTAGTTCTAAAAGTTTTTAATGAAAGAAAAAAGGGGTCTCGAATCGTGTTAGAAGAAATCGAAAATAGGTTCAAAAAAAGAGATGAATTGAGTGAAAGCAAAAAAAATTCAACAATCAGTAAGAGTAATCCAATGATTGAGGAATCGCCCGTTCTAATTCAATCTATGAATTGGACAAATTTCACAGAAAAAAGGATAAAAGATCTTAATGTTAAAACAAAGACAATCTTAAAACAACTAGAAAAAATGACAGAAGAAAAAAAAGAGGGGGTTATAACTTTAGAGATTAATTTGAATTCTACCAAAACTACTTATGATGCTAAAAGATTAGAATTACTAAAAAATAGTTTGAAAATATTAAAAAGAAGAACCGTTCGATTAATCCGTAAATCCTATTTTTTTTTTCAAATTTTAATGGGAAGGATATACATAGAGATCGTTTTCTCTATCACTCGTATTATTATGATGTCTGGACAACGTTTTCTTAATATTATTGAATTAACAGACAAAATTGTAAATGTATTTATTTCCATTTACACTAAAAAAAAAAATGAACAAAGAGTTCATAAAACAAATGAAAGTATAATTCCATTTATGTCGATTATAGACAAATCTTGGAATATTACAGATATGAATTCACAGAATTCTTGTGATGTATCTTCTTTGTCACAAGCCTATGTATTTTTTAAATTATCACAAGTTAGTAATGGATATAAATATAAGTTAAGATCTATTTTTGAATCTCATGGAAGATCTTTGTTTCTTAAGAATGAAATAAAAGATTATTTTTTTAGAATACAAGGAGGAAGATTAAATTCCAAATTAAGACATAAGAACCGTCCCGATTCTATAATGAATCAATGGATAAATTGGTTAAAGGTTCATTATCAATATGCTTTACCTCAGAGCGGATGGTCAAAATTAGTACCACAAAAGTGGAGGAAGAGAATCCATGAACATCGCGTGGCTCAAAAGAAAAATTTAGTTGAATATGATTCATCTGAAAAAAACCAATTCATTTTTTACAAAAAACAAAAAAAACAACAAGTAGATTTATTAGAAAAAAAAAAAAAAATAAAAAAACAATATGGATATGATCTTTTCTCCTATCAATATATAAATTATGCAGATAACAAAAAATCCTATATTTATGGATATAAATCACCATTGCAAGCAAACAAAAACCAAACGATTAATTACAACATACCTAAAAATAAAAAAGAATTATTTGATATAATGGGCGATAGCTTTATCCAAAATTATATAGCAGAAGATGGTATTATAGATATGGATATGGAAACAATGGAAAAAAATCTGAATAGAAAGTATCTAAATTGGATGGGAAAAAGAAAAAAGAATTCCAAAACGAATCAGAAATTATTGACTCCGAGATTTGGGTTCTTTTCAAAATTAAGTGCATATAAGAAGAATCCTTGGATCTTACCAATGAATTTCTTTTTTGTGCAGTTTTATGGAAACAAAAACATTACTGATGTAGCCAAGTTAAAGTTAGAAAAGAAAGAATACGGGAAGCAAGCAGATCTCAAATCATATCTCTCAAACTATTATAGGGACACTCGGTATAGTATAACTAGATACAGGAAGGATCTAAATGGCGAACAAAATTTCTTACTAGATAAATATTTTGGTTTTTATTTGCACTGTAAGACTCCCGTCCAAGAAACACTAATGGATAATATCAACTTATATTGTCTCCTGGTTAGATTGAAAAATCTAAAACAATTTTTCATAATGTCTATAAAAAAGGCAGACCTCGATTTTGAAATTACGGCGCGTCTGCAGATGAAGGACACTTGTTATACAGAATGTAGGGACACAGAGGAATTGAGGGACAACCTAATGTTTTTTATTGAACCTATTCGTATTTCTAGAAAAAACTATGAACAATTTTTTATATATCAAACCATAAGCATATCATTGAGGCACAAACGTAAAATTTTGAAAAGAAACTATGATTTACTTGTTCCTGAAAATCTTTTGTCCACTAGACGCCGTAGAGAATTGAGAATTCTAATTTGTTTGAACCCACAGAATAGAAATACTGTGCATAGAAACACAATAAATGACACTGAGAAAAAACGAAATAATTCTTCTGAAGTTTTGACTCAAAATGAAGATATTGATAGCGATACAAAAAAACTAATGACTTTAAAATTCTTTCTTTGGCCAAATTATCGATTCGAAGATTTAGCTTGTATGAACCGCTATTGGTTTGATACACATAATGGAAGCCGTTTCAGTATATTAAGAATACATATGTATCCTCGATTGAAAATCTAGATTTTTGTTCTATTTATCATTATCATAATATTTCAGATATCTATCTGATATCTGATATGTGAACATATATATATATATATAAATAAATATTATTTATATATATATATATATGTTCACATATAATTGATAATTGCAATAAATAAAATAAACGCGCACACGCATTGTGGGATTGATACGACTTCAATGATGTCTCCATTAGATAGAAATAAATCAATAGAAAAATGAATAAATCAAAATTGTCTTTTTTTTTTTTATTTTTTAAATACAAGACAATAGAATTTTTTATTTTTTGAATACATAAATATAGTATTTATTCTCTATTTGAATTACATTCCTTAATAAGGAATTTGAAAAAAAAAAATTCAGAATTGTGAAAATTGTTAAATAAATTAAGGTAAAATTTGATATAAAAAATTCAAAATGAGTGTCATTACTATTACTGATCAATATAAATATCTACCAAAAAGGAGGGGGAAAGAAAAGCTTTCATTTTATGATAAAAAATTCATTTATACCTGTTATTTCACAAAAAAAAAAAGAAGAAGAAAACCCGGGATCGGTTGAATTTCAAGTATTCAACTTCACTAATAAAATACAAAGACTTACTTCACATTTTAAATTACACCCAAAAGACGATTTATCTCAAGGAGGTTTACGTATAATTCTGGGAAAACGGAAACGACTATTGTCGTATTTGTCAAAGAAAAACAAAATACGTTATCAAAATTTAATAAATCGGTTGGGTATTCGGGATTCACAAATTAGGTAATTTAAAGAATCATTTTCAATTATTCGATTTATTAGATACTGAATTTTGATGAACTTTTTTTTTTGAACGATTCATGGAAGAATGAATCGAGGAAAAACCTATGAATATCCCAGCTACAAGAAAAGACCTCATGATAGAAAATATGGGGCCTCAACACCCATCGATGCATGGTGTTCTTCGACTTATTGTTACTCTGGATGGTGAAGATGTTATTGATTGTGAACCAATATTGGGTTATTTACACAGAGGTATGGAAAAAATAGCGGAAAACCGAACAATTATACAATATCTGCCTTATGTAACACGTTGGGATTATTTAGCGACTATGTTCACAGAAGCAATAACTGTAAACGGGCCGGAACAATTGGGAAATATTCAAGTACCTAAAAGAGCCAGCTATATACGAGTAATTATGTTGGAGTTAAGTCGTATAGCTTCTCATCTACTATGGTTGGGACCTTTTATGGCAGATATTGGTGCACAAACCCCTTTTTTCTATATTTTTAGAGAAAGAGAATTAATATATGATCTATTCGAAGCTGCGACAGGTATGAGAATGATGCATAATTTTTTTCGTATTGGGGGGGTAGCCGCTGATCTACCTTATGGTTGGATAGATAAATGTTTTGATTTCTGCAATTATTTTTTAACAAGGGTTATTGAATATCAAAAACTTATTACGCGAAATCCAATTTTTTTAGAACGGGTTGAAGGAGTAGGTTTTGTTGGTAGAGAGGAAGTTATAAATTGGGGGTTATCAGGACCGATGCTTCGGGCTTCCGGAATACAATGGGATCTACGTGAAGTTGATAATTATGAGTGTTACGAGGAATTGGATTGGGAAGTTCAATGGCAAAAAGAAGGAGATTCATTAGCTCGTTATTTAGTTCGAATTGGTGAAATGGTGGAATCCATAAAAATAATTCAACAGGCTTTGGAAGGAATTCCAGGGGGGCCTTATGAAAATTTTGAAATCCGCTGCTTTGATAGAGAAAAGGAGCCAGAATGGAATGATTTTGAATATCGATTCATTGGTAAAAAATCGTCTCCTACTTTTGAATTGCCGAAACAAGAACTTTATGTGAGAGTTGAGGCCCCCAAGGGAGAATTAGGAATTTTTCTAATAGGAGATCAGAATGGTTTTCCTTGGAGATGGAAAATTCGTCCACCTGGTTTTATCAATTTGCAAATTCTTCCTCAATTAGTTAAAAGAATGAAATTGGCTGATATTATGACAATACTAGGTAGCATAGATATCATTATGGGAGAAGTTGATCGTTGAAATGAGAATTGATACAACGGAAGTCCAAGATATAAACTCCTTTTCCGGATTGGAATCTTTCAAAGAGGTCTATGGAATTCTATGGATACTTGTACCAATTTTGATTCTTATCTTGGGAATCACAATAAGTGTACTAGCAATTGTATGGTTAGAAAGAGAAATATCAGCAGGGGTACAACAGCGTATTGGACCTGAATACGCTGGTCCTTTTGGAATTCTTCAAGCTCTAGCAGACGGAACAAAACTACTATTCAAAGAGAATCTTATTCCATCTAGGGGAGATATTCGTTTATTCAGTATTGGACCATCCATATCAATAATATCAATTCTAATAAGTTATTCAGTAATTCCCTTTGGCTATAACTTTGTTTTATCTGATTTCAAGATAGGTGTTTTTTTATGGATTGCTATTTCGAGTATTGCTCCCATTGGACTTCTTATGTCAGGATATGGCTCAAATAATAAATATTCCTTTTTGGGTGGTCTACGAGCTGCTGCTCAATCGATTAGTTATGAAATACCATTAACTCTATGTGTCTTATCAATATCTCTACGTGCGATTCGTTGAAACCAAAAAAGTTATTCGATGCTATTGCTATGCTCCTCTCTTTATAGTACTATATAGGAAAGGAGGCGAATCAATTGAATAGAAACCTTCATTATCTTTATTTTTCTCCGATTGAAGAACTAAATTAGATAGTTATATGAGTGAAATAAAACAGCTTATATTGAATAGAATTTCAGAATACTTTCTTACTTCTAGTTAATAGATAGTATGATGATTTTTAATGGCAGTAAAAATATTGAGTCTCATTTTCTATGTATAAGAATGAAATAAAATTATAAACAGAAGAGGCCATTTAACCCAAGATTGGATAATTTGTCATCCTGTTTTGAAGCGGGCTCTAAAGACCAACCTTATTGAGTTTTAGTTACCATTTTTATGAATTCTCATAGATATATTAAAATAAATAAGGGGGATTAATAAAAAAGAGTGGATGGTTAGAAACACCAAGATACACAAAGGATTAGTAACACAGATTTTGTAAATTATCCAAAAGACAATTTACGCCAGAATATAAAAAGGAATACTAATTGGGGCTTTAAGTTGGTAGAAAAAATAAAGCAGTACTCCCACAACTCCGATCCAGAGTATGCTTCCATCCACTCATTAAATAAATGACTATCAGGAACGAAAAAATCCTTTAAAATTTTTTAAGTCCCTTTTTCATAGCACAAAAAAGAAGAATAGGAACGAAAAAAAAAAACATAAGAAATCAAAAACGAAAGAGAAATCTATTTTTCGTTTTTGATTTCTTATATCCATATCCATATTCATGGAGATCAAATCATAATTAAGAAACGAATGTTTAATTCTTTTTCGTAATTCAAAATCATGAGGGCTATTGAGAATTATAAAAGAGTATTTTATTGAAGAATTCAGTTATTACTCAACAAATTTTTATTTTTGAGGGATGAGATCAATTCAGAAGTGCCTTACATTGATCTTTTATTAAACTATATTTCTCTTTCTTATTTCGTTATTTCTAGAACAGACAGAATTGAATTGGTCTAATTCAGAACCGTTCGATCTATTTTCATCTTCTATATCTTAGGGATATAGCAAGAGAGAAATAATTGACACCGGTCCTTAGATTTACTTAAGGCTTTCCAGGAGCCGTATGAGGTGAAAATTTCATGTACGGTTCTGTAATAGAGATGGGAACAGTAATGTTATCACCGACTAGGATTATCTAACAGTTTAAGTACAGTTGATATAGTTGATGCGCAAGCAAAATATGGTTTTTGGGGTTGGAATTTGTGGCGTCAACCTATGGGTTTCATCGTTTTTCTAATTTTCTTCGCTAGCAGAATGTGAAAGATTACCTTTTGATTTACCAGAAGCAGAAGAAGAATTAGTAGCTGGTTATCAAACAGAATACTCAGGTATTAGATTTGGTTTATTTTACGTTGCTTCCTATTTAAACCTTTTAATTTCTTCATTATTTGTAACAGTTCTTTACTTGGGGCGGTTCAAATATCTCTATTCCGTACATATTTGTTTCTGAATTTTTTGAAATAAATAAAACATACGGAGTTTTTGGAACTACAATTGATCTCTTTATTACATTAGCTAAAAGCTATTTTTTCTTATTTGTTTCTATCATAACAAGATGGTCTTTGCCTAGGCTAAGAATGGATCAATTATTAAATCTTGGATGGAAATTTCTTTTACCTATTTCTCTCGGTAATCTATTATTAACAACTTCGTCTCAATTGTTTTCGCTGTAAAAGATGGATCTTCTATATTCATTACTTGTCTCAAATAAGAGAAAGAAATAAAACAAAACTATTCATAGATATTTACGATATGTTCCTTATGGTAACTGGGTTCATGAATTATGGTCAACAAACAGTCCGAGCTGCAAGGTACATTGGTCCAAAGTTTCATGATTATCTTATCTCACCACGCAAATCGTTTACCTGTAACTATTCAATATCCTTATGAAAAATTAATCACATCAGAACGTTTCCGCGGTCGAATCCATTTTGAATTTGATAAATGCATTGCTTGTGAAGTATGTGTTCGTGTATGTCCTATAGATTTACCCGTTGTTGATTGGAAAATGGAAACGGATATTAGAAAGAAACGATTGCTAAATTACAGTATTGATTTCGGAATCTGGATTTTTTGTGGTAACTGTATTGAGTATTGTCCAACAAATTGTTTATCAATGACTGAAGAATATGAACTTTCAACTTATGATCGTCATGAATTGAATTATAATCAAATTGCTTTGGGCCGTTTACCAATGTCAATAATTGATGATTATACAATTCGAACAATTCAAATCAAATAAAAAAAGACAATTTTTTATAATTTAATAAAATACAATTCTAAAAAAAAAAAGAATATTCTATATATATATAGATTTCTATATATATATAGAATATATAGAATATATAGAATAATCGAAATAAAATATTTTCAAAAATTGTATAAAAAATGAATCATATAATCGATATTGGATTAGAAATATTCTCTAATTATTAGAGAAATATATTCTTAAATAGAATAGAGAAATATATTATCGAAATTTGAAATATTCTTTAATTTAAAGACTAGTTCAAATGGTTATATATGTTCTATCTACCTTTATACTTTAGTTTTAATATCGTTTCAAACTACTCTTTCGTATAAAGAGTAGTTTAAGTGGAATGACATTGATTATATAACCGTAACTATATCAATTTAAACTACTTAGGTTTTTTCAATGCAAAGAAAAATTTAAGTATATAACAATTTTTTCCTGGTCATATCAATAAGGTCATGAAATTTCGATTTCTTTGTCTTTTTTTTTTTACATATAATGATTTGCCTGAAACGCTGCACGATTTTCTTTTAGTCTTTCTGGGATCGGGTCTTATATTAGGAAGTTTAGGAGTAGTATTACTTACCAACCCCATTTTTTCTGCTTTTTCGTTGGGACTGGTTCTTGTTTGTATCTCTTTCTTATATATTTTAGCAAACTCGCATTTTGTAGCTGCATCACAGCTACTTATTTACGTGGGAGCTATTAACATTTTAATCATATTTGCTGTGATGTTCATGAATAGTTCCGAATATTACCAAGATTTTCATCTTTGGACCATAGGGGATGGAATTACTTTGATAGTTTGTACAAGTATTTTGTTTCACTAATAACTATTATTTCAGATACATCATGGTACGGAATTATTTGGACTACAAGACCAAATCAGATTATTGAACAAGATTTGATAAGTACTAGTCAACAAATTGGAATTCATTTATCAACAGATTTTTTTCTTCCCATTTGAAACTAATTTCAATAATTCTTTTAGTTTCTTTGATAGGTGCAATTGTCGTAGCTCGCCAGTAAGAAATCTTTAGAGAACTACTAATATAAATCAAGACTATATATATATATGTATTTTTTTTTTTTCAATGTGAAGTGAAAAGAGTTTTTAGGTAGAAATTCTTTTTTTTTATTGCCAATATATTCTTTTGTTGCAGACTTGTTATATTCTTTAGTCAATTGAATCTGTTGAATTGTTGTTCATATTGAAATGAATCAAAATTGATAAGGAGTTGGTCAATGATGCTCGAACATGTACTTGTTTTGAGTGCCTATTTATTTTCTATTGGTATCTATGGATTGATCACGAGCCGAAATATGGTTAGAGCCCTTATGTGTCTTGAACTTATATTGAATGCAGTGAATATAAATCTAGTCACTTTTTCGATTTTTTTGATAATCCGCCAATTAAAAGGAAATATTTTTTCAATTTTTTTTATAGCTATTGCAGCCGCTGAAGCGGCTATCGGGACTGGCTATTGGTTTCCCTCAATTGCTCGTAACAGAAAATCAACCCGTATCATCAATCGAATTTGTTGAATAAATAGCATGAATCATATCATAATTAATAAAAAAGAAACAAAGTAGAATTTCAAATAGTGTAATATTAATCAATTCATTTTAGTATTTATTCGACACAACTTATGATCATATCATGTTTGCATTCCTAAATCATAAGAAATCAAAGTATCCTGGTCCTCTTCTATTTCCTCTTCTAAATTTATCTAGACGCCTTTTTTATTAACAGTTAACAATATTATCACAAATCATTGATTCATCTGGTATATAAATATACGATTCATTTACGAGTTTACTAGATCGATAATTTTCATTTTTGAACATCAAAAATTACTATAGATATAATGTCACATTCAGTAAAGATTTATGATACATGTATAGGATGTACTCAATGTGTCCGAGCCTGTCCCACAGATGTATTAGAAATGATACCTTGGGATGGATGTAAAGCTAAGCAAATAGCTTCTGCCCCAAGAACAGAGGACTGTGTTGGTTGTAAGAGGTGTGAGTCCGCTTGTCCGACAGATTTCTTAAGTATTCGAGTTTATTTATGGCATGAAACAACTCGAAGTATGGGTCTAGCTTATTGATACGTTTCAAAAAACAACCACACGAATACGTTTTTTACTGGCAAAAACTCGTGCTCAAAATCAATAGAAAAAAATTTTTCTATTGATTTTGAGCACGGGCTTTTCTGGCCCAAGTGTATCTTATTTTTATCACGAATGATTTTCCTTGGTTAACAATAGTTGTTGTTTTCCCAATAGCCGCAGGTTCCTTCATTTTCTTATTTCCTCATAGGGGAAATAAGGTAATTAGGTGGTATAAGCATTTGTATATGCTTAATCGATCTCCTTCTAACAACCTATGCATTTTGTTATCATTTCCAATTGGATGATCCACTAATTCAACTGACGGAGAATTCTAAATGGATCAATTTTTTTGATTTTTACTGGAGATTAGGAATAGATGGACTCTCTATAGGACCTATTTTACTGACGGGATTTATAACTACTTTAGCCACTTTAGCGGGCTCAGCCGGTTACTCGAGAATACCAATTATTCTATTTCCTGATGTTAGCAATGTATAGCGGTCAAATCGGACCATTTTCTTCTCGAGACATTTTACTTTTTTTCATCATGTGGGAATTGGAATTAATTCCCGTTTATC